AATATAGATTTTGGAGCAATATGGCTGTTGCTGGTCTACACAATATTTCTGTGCTTGAAAATTCCTTCCTAAGGGAGTCTCAGTTTCAAACATCAGGAAATTGGGGAAATGGTAGTACCCGGGCATCCTCACTCCTGCAGATGTGGCGGGAGCTTGAAGATGAGCATGTGGTGAGTCATGCTCAAGAGAGGGCTAGGGAAAGAATGCTCCAACCAAGGAATGATGACCTCTCTGTGACTGATCTTTCTGATAGCCGAAATAGTGAACATAGTGGTGTTTCACATGATGTGAGCGTGAGTGAGAATGAGTTTGGACAATGGTTGCCAGATCGATTTGGGTTGCAGAATGGGAATGGGGATTCGAATAATCTTAACTGTGAACATTCATCTGATTTTGGGGAAGTTGAAAGGGAAAGGGTAAGGCAAATTTTCGGGAGTGGATGAACAGTGGTGGCAGGGATCATACATCTAATGTTTCCCGTAGAAACAACAGTTCAAGAGCCCAGTGGCTTGGAGAAACTGAGCAAGAGAGGGTCAGACTTATCAGGGAGTGGGTGCAAATGAACAGCCAACAGAGAGGTGCTTGTGTTGATAGTAGAGAAGAGCAAGCCGCTGATGTTGGTGGCCAAGTTGAACGAGTTCTTGATGGATTGGTGGTTAACCGGAATTCTGGCCGGACTGAGCATGTGCGTAGGGGAATTCGTAAATTATGTGGCCGACATGCCCTGCTTGATATGCTTAAGAAGGCTGAGAGAGAAAGGCAAACTGAGCTCCAGGTGTTGTTGGAGCATCGGGCTGTATCAAATTTTGCCCATCGCAACCGCATTCAGGTAGATGCAAATAAAGTCTAGCCATTTTTAGGTGGCTATTGTCTTTAGTTGTTCACATGTTGTTCACGTTCTTTCAAATTTGCAAATAAAAGCCCCCCCTCCTTTACCACCCATATACCCATATTTAAGGTAAAGGCTAGTTTGGTAGTTTTGGTGTTATAGATTCACTTAATGGAGATGCTTCTTACATGTTTTTTACAGCTATAAGGATTGTTCTCTAGCACAAAAGTATACTGTGCATGCAATGAGGTTGTTAGTTGCCTTAAATTTTCCCTTGTAGCTTAAATGTCATTTTTTAAAGCATAATATTTTTTCTAACAACAGATTTAGATGTCTAATTATTGATTTATACTTCCCTGTTAAAATTCTTGAAAATGACTTCATTGCAACTGTGACATTCATATGAAAAGAGAAAGTTCGTATATCATGCGAGTCAGTGTAGATATTAAATGCAAGAAATGATACTGATTTTGAACCAAGAGCAAAATTAAGATTATATGTCAAGTAGGGAATGCTAGCATATTTGTCTCATCAAGTTGCCTTGTTTTAGGCTTCCTATTTGATTGATGTTTACCATTTGTAGCTTGCAGCTTGTTCTGGAAATTAAATGCTCTGCTGATAATAGTTCTATAACTCTCAAAAGCAATTAGGCTACCTATTACATTAATTATTGTCTGCTAGAGTACTGTCATAAATCCTAACAGTCTTTATGGATCTTCTAAAAATGTCATTGTTGTTTGAGGGCAACTGTGGTTTTATCTTAGCTTGCGTTGGTAGCTTTTAATCAAGTGACTTAATGCGTCCTAATGCTAATTGTTAACCTTATTGAGTGTAATACCTTCTTGCTTTTGGCATTAAACCAAACATGTATTGCTTTTACTGACATTCATTGATTTCCATATACCTTTTTTTTTATGCAGTCCTTGCTGAGGGGTAGATTCCTGAGAAATGACAGAATGGGGGAAGGTAACAGATCTACCTCTATTGCAGCCAGCGAATTAGGCTTATTGAGACAAAAGCAGACTGTATCTGGTCTAAGGTACTTTATTCTTTATTTCATATGAACAGCAGAGTTCATCTGATGCTGTATTACAATTCCACTCTTTTTGCATTATGTAAACATCTTTCATAGACTTTATTTTAGCAGAACTTCAAGCAATCAAATTTTCTACTATTTAGTACATTGAGCTCTCAGTTTGTCCTACAAAGCAGTATCTGTAATTTCTTTCTGATTTCTCCACTTTTTCATAAAGTAAATGATGCATTCAGAAGATTGAATTTGAACAAGGGATTTAGATCTCAAATTTATATTGGTTCGGCTTAAAGTAATATCCCTTGTGTCTAGTTCAAATAATTCATCAAGATTCTTGCAATAAAGAACTTCTTGGTAACATTGAAGTTGTGGAAATTAGTATTAGTATCAGTAATGTATTGAGCAATGTGATAACAAGGTTGAGTCCGTAAATGCTTGCACATTACTGAGCCTTTGTATAGCAAAACAGCTACATGAAGTTGCGATAATTTGGTAGTACATATACATTTCAATGATCATTTCTAAATTTGCAGGACCAGCTTGTGGTCATATGTTTTTAGCTGTAATTTCTGAAATAGCTTGACTATACTTGCTTTGAAGAAACATTTTGGATGCTTTATCGGTGGAAGTTACATTATTGAATTAAAATAATGCCATAAACTTTATCGATTATATTTAAGCAATACCTTTTTTTACCATTCAATTATAATGTTATGCGAAACTTGCCTTTGTTTCAGGGAAGGGTTTTTCTCCAGACTGGATAATTCTGGTTCTGGTCCTGCAAGCAGTAATCGATCTGATACATCATCTACTGCTGATTCTAATGCTAATAGAAATGAGCAAGACCAACTAAATAACTCACTGGAAACCACAGAAGGAATAAATGAAAACCCTGAACATGAGAACAAGCAAACAGATAATCAAAGGTTGTTGGATGATAGAACTGATTTAGAAGATGATGTTGTTGAAGATGTAAATTGGCAGGAAACCTCTGCTCGGGTAGAAGAGTGGCGAGAACGAATTTCTGGGAGTGTTGCTACAGACTGGCAGTGTTCTTTCAGTGACGAGTCCAATGAGAGCAGAGATGTTAGTGGAGGAACCTTGGATGTGGACTGGCAAGGAAATCATGCTAATGAGTTACCCCTTGAAACTTTGCCAAATGACACTGGAGAGCATACTGATCTACAGGATCCTGGTGTAGCATCTTATGAACATTCTTCCCAAGATGGTGGAGTAAGTGGGACCTATGGGTTAATGAATGACATAGAAAATTTGCAAAGGAATCCAGTAGCACGGATTGACGCTCAAGAGTCTGCTTCTCAAGTTGAACAACGGCTGGAGGAGGACCAGGAAACTGTGGAAGCTGACTGGCAGCAAGCTAGTGTCGAGTATAATGAATTCATGGATGGTAATGAAGACACCTCTGACATGCACCGTGAGGATGGAGGCCTAGACGAAACTACACTGAATTGGTTGGAGGGTTCTTACAACATAGAACCTGTTACCATCGGAAGAACAGATACATTTTATTTTCCTGATGATGATAACGTACACAGTGTGGAACTGAGGGAACTGTTAAGCAGGTATGAATTTTATTAACTGTTGAGCTTTTGTGATTAGATTTTTCTAATTTGGTGTATTTCTAACCCATGTTACTTTTAATGCTGTAGGAGAAGTGTGTCTACCCTTCTTCAGAGTGGCTTCCGCGAGAGTCTTGACCAGTTGGTACAATCATATGTGGAAAGGCAAAATCATGCTTCTGCTGACTGGGAGCTAAATGGAACATCTCCTACTCCTGTGTCTCTTGAGCAAGATATGGAATGGCAAAGCGGGGATCAGAATGATAGTCATGTGGATGCTGAGACGACTCCACCCACTCTTTCTTCACCCAGGATGCCACCTATGCAATCACTCTGGGACCAGGACTTGCACCGTTATAATTGGGCACCACATGATGCGCATCAACACTTTGGCATTGTATGTCATTTCTTATTTGCAATTTTTGAAAAGTTTATTAATAGTGGGGATTATTTAATGAGCTTTATCAGCAGTTAACTACATGCCAGAATCTCACTGATCTAATTGGGGGAGCAGGGATATAATTTATGAGCTTAAATCTGTTCTGACTACTATTCTTTTGGTCTCCATTTTCATTTAATTGTGCTGCTAATTTGGTGCAGGAGTGGGAGATCATTAATGATTTGAGGATCGACATGGCTAGGCTGCAGCAAAGGATGAATAGTATGCAGACGATGCTGGAGGCCTGCATGGATATGCAACTTGAGTTACAACGGTCAATAAGACAAGAAGTTTCTGCTTCCCTTAACCGTTCTGCTGGTTCACAAGGTTTTCCTTTTCCTTCCGTATCAGTTCACTAGGGTGGTATTACTTGGGGAAAGTTGATAATCCTAAAGAGTCTCTACTTGTGTTTATCCTCGAGATATAATTTTCTTGTTCTGTTGCCGGAATTTTCTCATGCTGGTTTGTTTCATATTCTTCTGATGTTCTATTACAGGGATGATCAATGACAACTTGCCGAAGGATGTGTCTAACTGGGAAAATGTCAGGAAAGGAATTTGTTGTATATGTTGTGAAGGCAATATTGATTCATTACTGTACAGGTAAATCTTGAAAATTGATCCTCAAGTTTCATATAAATTGGAGGCCTTCAGTTTTTTGTTTTCATCATTGACGTGTATCATATTGTTACAGATGCGGGCACATGTGCACATGCTCAAAATGTGCGAATGAGCTGGTCCATGATGGAGGAAAATGTCCAATGTGTCGGACACCGGTAATCGAGGTCATCCGTGCCTACTCAATCCTTTAAAAATCAACAATATTTGTATATTTAATAAAAATAACCAAAAGAAAAATAGAAAAACCATTGAAAAATATCTTATTTTCCTTTCTCTCATTGTCGCCTTTCTTGGGCCGTGATTAGATGATTACATAAATTGAGTGTATGTTTGAAACAGACAATTCATCTTGTTGAATTCATTATATAATACTAATTCGGGTGTAAAATCATTAATTGTAATTGCTGGAATGAATGTTGGACTGTGTTTTTACTTATTTTGGAGGTTCTAGTATTAATCAAATATTATTTATATCAATAAAAAATTATTAAGATGAACCATGACAAACTTGCTGATCCCATCAAAGGCAGTGAACCCTTATAAAGTTGGTTCGGCTTGCATAAGCAAGCAGAGAACTCCTGAGAACTTCCAAGTTGTGGAGGCGGTAACTGCAATTGCCAACAGGAAAAGAAAGGTGTAAACCTAAACATAGTTAGTTGCCAAAGCACCACAGCTTCTTCATATGCACTCGGGGAAACAGGGAATTCATATGCAAGAGATCCTTTATTTTACCTGTAATAAAACGGGAAAATAACGTATGGTATGAACCCCAGAAGAACAATACTGTAGTTAAAACTGTAGTTAAAGTGTAAAAGGAAATAGAACCATTTATAAATCCTCAAAATGAACAATACTGTTTGTATACAAATGTAGACAATATCATCAAGAAAGCCAGTCAAATAGGAGGGAAATTCAATTAGCAAAACCATGAGACCCGGTTATATTAAAGACTCGCCTTTTTTAGTGGAAGGCCACATTTTTCAGAAATGATGTCATGGATGGAAACTAAAACTTGGGCAGGGGCCAACACAGGACCGGTGTGGGACGAACCCTGTAAGAACAAAGAACCAAAGAAAAACCTCAAATTACAATTTACAAATAAACATTTTAACTCTAATCAATGACTTGCAAAATATCAAAAGATGAAGACCCAACCTGATGGCTACTTTTACACACTCTTTTGCTTCCAATGCTCATACAAAATGTCTGGACGCAGACGCGGCAAATATTGCTCAACTTAAGTTAAAAACTTATGTATGGATGGCTTCCCTTCAATGCACATTTATCATGGTTCACTTTTGTTATATGTTTGTTCTTATAACCAAAACACAATGCAATTCTCTTTATTGAAAGAACAAGGTGAATACAAAAATTCACTAGCAAAAATGCAATCACAAGGGACCTGGGCCTAAGTTGCAAATTACGTAGGGACATTGCAAATGAATAATGTACAAAAATAAAACGAATTCGAGCATTACAATAGAAGCATATACGAATGTAAATTCCATAGGGTCGTTAGTCGACAGAATGTCAACATCTGAGTATTATACAATCCTAGATGGAAATCTTATAACCTGAGAGTGTAAGAAGCAAAATATAGTAGCAGGATCAAGATCTAAATCAGAATTTAGATCGATGGTTTTAGGAGTATCTGAGTTACTTTGAGTAGAGATAAGCTAGATGACTTGAGAATAAAGAAGGAAGGACTAATGAAGCTTTATTGTGATAATAAATCAACTATCAATATTGTTCACAATCCTGTTTAACATGACCGAGCAAAACATATTAAAGTTGATAGACATTTCATTAAGAAAAAATTGGACAGTAGTCTAATTATACCCCATTTATCTCTACCAAGGATCAATTAGCAGATGTGCTCACAAGGGGCTAACAAACGAGGTTTTTCAAGAAATTCTAAACAAGTTGGGAATGAAAGATATTCACTCACCAACTTGAGGGTGAGTGTCAGAATCAGCAGCGTAAAAGTCTTTTATAATAAGAAAGGATAAGTCTTGGGAGTCTTTGTAATCTCTATCTCTAAATAAAATTTTATCTTTAGCGAAAAAAGTCCTACTAGAACTCAGCAACTCAGTTTATTTAAACTATTATAATCTCTGAATTTATTTCTTAGTTTATAACAATAATTAAATAATGAATATAATATAGAAAGTTATATTGCAGAGGTTTAGGGGTTAGAACATGTCCAACCTAAAAAGTTAGGCTCCTGATAAGTTTTTTAGTTACAACTGATTTATGTCGTTTTTTAATCTTATATTAACAAGTTGTATTTTAGAATTTTATCCACATTACAGTTTATGGTGCTCGACCATAAACATCAAATAGGAATTGAAGACTAGGATTTTGGAATGAAAAGAGAAAATTCCATCAGTCTTAGCCAGAAACCAAAACACATATTAAAAGAGAAAAATAAAATAAAATGAAGTAAACGTTTGTGCATAAAGCAAAAATAGAGACACAAGTCTTTGAGTTTCAGCAAATGACACTACTGAAGCACTATTACTTATTGATTTTGTATTCATGGAATCGATTCTAGAAGCTCTGGTCTCTAAAGTTGGGAGTCAGTAGGTGCTCACCAAATGCAGATAGGTTGTTGTGCTGCACTGGTGCTTTCTGGTATGATGGTTGTTAGTGCTGTTGGGTCTGTTAGGAGGTTGTTAGCAGTCTCAGCTGTACACTAGCTCATCTTCCATTGTATAAATGTAACCTGGTTCCTTCGGAATATTACCATGTTAAAAGAATAGAAAGAGAGGTGACACTCTCCTTGATTTTATTGAATTAACCTGTAATATTCCAAAAGAACCAGGTGACATTTATATAATGGAAGATGAGTTAGTGCACAGCTAACAACCTTCTAACAGACTCAACAACACTAACAACCATCTTAACAGAAAACACCAGTGCAGCACAACAACCTATCTGCACCTGGTGAGCACCTATACTTAAAACACCTCGGAGTTCAGAAAAACTTATCTGAAAATCATTAGCAAGTAGGTGGCGTGAAGAGGTACATTTTATTACCTAGAGGATTGCAAAACCTGATAAATCCTTGGAGTCTCTGTATATAATTCAATGGCCCTGGTTTTAATTTCTTGCTGGAGGATATACAAGGCCTGCCTGAACTCTCTTAGATCAAACTGAAATCCTTACCTGTAGAGCTGCAATTTCTGACAGCCCTTGAGAACTTAAATATTATGTTCTGTCCAAATATCAGCAGTCTTCCAGGACAATTTGTTTACATTTAGCCCTAGATTTAAGACTGCTGACCCCCTGATTCGGGTTTCATTTTGATTTTTCTTTTGATGTATATCAGTATATGGCTGTATGCATTGAAGCTGTTGAAAGTTAAATTAGTTAACACGGAAACATGAACAGTTACCTGGTTTTATTTTTAGTCTTAGGATTCGTGAACCTGGGCAGCTGATTACTATGTTGTTGTTTTAAAAATATATATTGTCATACTTAAAAGATTTACAGTAAAAAAGATTATGATACTGCTTAATGATATTTAATTTCCTTTTTGCTTGTTTTTGGCTATCAAATCATTTGAAAACATAAAAAAAGAAACAAAAAACTCAGCAACAATCATTTAATGATAAAAAATGACACACAGAAAACAATAAAATGAACCACAAAAGAGAGGATAAATCAACATTGCACCGTTCAAAGTCAAGGGATGCCTTACCATCTAGGATGGACGAGGGGTGGACGGGATAGTTGTACCTGAAAATTTCAATTTAACATATATTTTCGTCCCCGGTATAAAATCCTGTGTCCGTACCTGCTACCATCTTTTTCTTTCCCAGTAGAAACTTGGAAGTGAATTCTCAGTGGTGCTCGTACCCACCAGTTGGCTTCCCATTGAGAAGCTATGAGTTGTGGCTGAAAATGATGTGTGTGTATGGTTATATGTGTGTATATGATATATATACTTCAGGCAAATTGCATGGGATTATACTACTAGCAACTTTAAAACCTTACTGGACCATCAGTTAGAAGGGAAAGAAAGGATATACTTCTTTGCAGCAACAGTGGCTGAGACCTCCGTTACAGGTTGTGTTTGAAAAGGTAGCCTCTCGCGTTTTGAAAGAGGTTGCCAATCGTTGTGGATTCAAGGATGAGATCCAGAAGCTCCAACGTTCTTTGCGGATGATCCAAGCTGTTCTCGAAGATGCAGAAGAGCGGCAAGCTGCTGATAAAGCATTGAAGTTGTGGTTAACTGAGCTTAAAGAGGTAGCTTATGATGCTGACGACTTGCATGAAGAATTTGCCCCGGAGGCCATGCTGCTAGAAAATGGAAACACTTTTACTAAGCAGGTCAGCAATACCATCCCCTCTTTGAATCCTGTTATAGCATACCTCAGAAAATTGCCTGAGCTAACGCAGATAAGGAAGAGACTAGACGTGTTATTGGAAGAAAGGTCTTGTTTCAAGCTCAAGGAAAAAGTTGGTGATAAAGATAAAAGTGGACAGAAAAGAGAGACTGGGTCATTTGTGGTTGAACCTGAAGTAATTGGACGGGAAGAAGATAAAGAAAAGATAATACAGATATTATTGTTAACTACTGAGAGAAGAGCTGGCAGATTTGTGTCTGTTATTCCCATAATGGGTTTAGGGGGCATTGGTAAAACTACTCTAGCTCAAACAGTCTATAATGATGAGAGGGTGATGAGAAACTTTGAGCTGAGGATGTGGGTCTCTGTCAATGATGATTTCGGTGTGAGAAAAATTCTTAACTTGATGATGGAATCTGCAAATAGGAGAAGATGTGATGATCTCCTGGGAATGGATGCTCTTCAGTTTCAATTACGAGATTTGTTATTGGACAAGAGATATTTACTTGTATTGGACGATGTATGGAACGAGGATGAGGATGAATGGGAAAAGCTTAAAACGTTGCTGAATTTTGGTGCAGAGGAAAGCAAAGTTATAGTCACAACGAGAAGTGCAAAGGCTGCAGAAATAGTTGGAACAGTGTCTTCTCACCATCTGGAGGGTCTATCCGATGATGAATGTTGGACTTTGTTCAAACAACGTGCCTTTTCTCATGGCCAACAGGACAAGGACAATCCAAACTTGTTCCCTATTGGGAAACAAATAGTGAAGAAGTGTGGGGGAGTTACTCTCGCTGCAAAGACACTGGGTGGTCTAATGCGCTCCAAAAGAGAGCCAACAGAGTGGCTCTGCATGCAGGAGAGTGATATGTGGAATGTTTGTGAAGAGGAAAATGGGATATTGCCAGTCCTAAGGCTGAGCTATAGTCGTTTGCCCTCACATCTAAAAGGGTGCTTTATGTATTGCTCAATATTTCCCAAAAATTATGTCATTAAGAAAGATAAGTTAATTCATCTTTGGATAGCAGAAGGCCTGATTCAACAGATTGAGGAAAGAAAATCTTTAGAGGAGATCGGAAATGAATACTTCCATGACTTAATGTGGATGCTTTTCTTTGAAGATGTGAAGAAAAATGAATTTGGAGATGTAATAGAATGCAGAATGCATGGTATTATTCATGATCTTGCAAAATCTGTTGCAGGAGAAGAGTACTTTGTATTTGAAGGTGGATGCATGCCAAGAAATTTGCTAAACTGCGGTACTTATCCGTAGTCTGTGATTCTGGATCATGTATTATTCCAGAAGCCTTGTACGAGGCTAAGAAGTTGCGAACTCTCATTTTGTTGTATCCAAAAGGTGGTCTTGGTGAAGTCCCAACTAAGTTGTTCTCAAGTTTCAAGTATCTTCGAGTCCTAGATTTGGGTAATTGTGGCATAGTGCAGGACACAATTTCTTGCTTGAAATATTTGAGGTACCTCAACTTTTCAAATACGTTGATAGAAATATTACCAGAAAGCATATGCAGGCTTCATAACTTGCAGGTGCTGAACCTATCAGGCTGCGCTGATCTCATTGAACTACCGAGCAGCTTGTTGCGACTTCTCTTGCTAAGACATCTTGTAATAATGAAAGATTAACTCACTTTCCAGATAACTTCCATAGACATAGAAGTCTTCAGACATTACCATTGTTCATTGTGGCAAATGAGGCTAATTTCAGGGGGAATGCTAATCTCATGGACCTGAGTCGTCTGCAGCTCAAAGGAGAGCTGACAGTTAGAAAACTGGAGAATGTAAAGCGTGAATATTTAGCTCAAGCAAACTTAAAAGAGAAAAACCTTTTCTTTAGAGTTATCATGGGGAGATGATCATGAAGGTTTGAACTTGAACATGAGCAATGATTTTATTTGCAAAATGGGAGAGAATGTGCTCAAGTGCTTCAACTACCGGAAAATCTCAAACGTTTATCCTCATAAAGAATATCCAGGAATCTGCTTCCCAAAATGGATGGGTACTCCCAAACTTCTTGGCTTAACTAAATTAGAGTTTATCAACTGCAAAAGATGTCACCATCTCCCTACTTTAGGGGAACTTCCATTCCTAGATGTTATCTACATGTGATAAATGTATCCTCATTTGTTAAATTACGGAGTTGCCATGAAACTTTGTTAAGATCGGTGATAAATGTATCCTCACTTTCTATCCTAGTTATTGATGTTTTTACAGGACAGTTGATTCTACTGGATCACTTGCTTTAAAACAATGTTAATCTCACCTCTCTGACTATCAGCTCTTGTCCCAAGCTTCTGTACATCCCTCCTAGTTTGGGGAACCTTGTATCTCTAAAAACATTGACAATTCGTTGGAGTGAGGAGCTTGTATCTCTGCCACTGCAATTGCAAAACCTCATGTCTGCAGTCTCTGGAGATCAGTGAATGTCATAGCCTTTCTGCTCCACCCCCGATTATATCCGAGTTAATCTCCCTTAAACATTTATCCATTGAGAACTGCAGTAACATAAGCTTGTTAGCAATTGAACTTCGACATCTTAGCTCTCTCGAACATTTAACCATAATATATTGTCCAAGTTTGGTTTCTTTGCCAAATGAGTGGCAAAACCTTTCCATGCTGAGGAGTTGGTGCATTTTAAGTTGTCCACAGCTATCATTTCTGCCTGATAGTATTCAATATGTCAGGACACTGCAAAATCTGGAATTCCATGCTTGTCCTGGCTTAAATGCGTTGCCTGAGTGGATATTAAATCTTTCACTTCTAAGATCTTTGGCAATATCAGATTGTCCTAAAATCACATCACTTCTAGACAACCTTCAATGTCTCAGCAATCTCCAGCGCCTTTCTATTCAAGAATTCCCTAGGTTTGAAGAACATTACAAGAAAAATACAGGTGACGGCTGGCCAAAAATAGCTCATATTGCACATATTTAAATCGGATCACCAGAGCTCAAGAAAGAGAATGTTGCCAGCAGCTCATTGCGCTGAAGTAGAATAAATGTCATCTATGTGGTGATGCTCTTGGTAGGTCAACTTCTTTCGATTGCTTCTCATTCAATAAGTTTTCTTCTTTTTTTTACCAATGGTTTCTTTCAACAGATTATAAATGTCAGCGACTGGGGAATTGGGGAAGCCCTAAAATTACGACTTCTGCATAGTAGAAGTAATGAGAAAGCTTATCTCAATGCAGGATCTAGAAACTGGTAGGCCACAGTGATGGATTCGCAAGAATGTGTATCGGTGCTTATCTCACTCAGATCTTTGGCATTATCAGATTGTCGAAATCTAACTTCTCCTAGTGTCCTGCAATTTCTTAGTTGCGTTCAGCATTGGTCTATTTCTAGAAAGTCCAGCTGTGGAAGAGAGATGGAGATTTGACCTAAGATAAGTCATGTTACAGGCCCATACCGGATCAGGAGAGCAGCCATCTAATTGAGGTCTGAAAATTCGTCTTGATATTTCTAACTCTTATGCTTATATCAGTTCTTTATTTGCTTTCTCTTAAAGAAAGATGCAGATTGAGAGCAGCCACTGGCTAACTCAGTTAAATTAAGAGTCTAAACAAATGAGTTCAACATTTGAAGTTGCTGAACTTATATTACATTCTATTTTTTACATATTGGATCCTTTCAAACTTTTTAATTTTATGTTAAATTGTGATGTTTTAGGGGTCACGAGATTGTGTTGCATGTTCTCTACCATCAATATCCTCTCAGATTATACCCTTCACATTCTGCTGCTGTTTATGAAAAACATCTCCTGGTAGTGGTAAGTGCTTAATTCAGTGAACCAACCTAGTTTTCATTTTCTGTTCTCCGAGTGATAGGTTTATCTAATTTATTTTTCTGCTCAAATCTTTGCTCGACATTTTTCCTGCCTCAGATAAGCCATTCAGTATACTTCTTGGCGAAGTTCCATTCCTTCTTGATTCTGCCTTGAAACTTTTACGTTATCTCTGCTATTCTAATGTGTTTGACGCTACTGGGAAAGAGGTTTGTGATGTTGAGCGTGTGACACAGGGCCTTGGTGTGGTGTGGAATTTAATTTTGGGACGTTCAAATAATTGACAAGTTCGCTAAGGAAATATTTTAGTGATAGATATCATTAGTTATATGACTTAATCTACACTTTTTTATCACCCGTCTTAGAAACCTCCACTATTATTGCCTATGTTTTACATGCGGAATGGTGCACACTTGCATGATAATTATCATCATTCAGATATTCTAGGGTTTTGTTGGTGTTTGGTGTACAAGTTATTGTTATGAGTATAGGTGCGCATCAAGTGCCTTTAGGCTGGATTAATGGAATGAAGATTGACAGAGCTAATCTTAAAGAGAAATGAAAAGAGGATTTTTTTGGGACAGCTTCACCATGAAGATCAAATGCTCTATGATTCCATCTATTAACAAGAATGCTTAGAGAAGTTAATTATAACTTAGAAGCTGACCATGTAGTCCCAGTCTCCCAGATATGGCATGCATCCATGGCATATTTTTTACTATTTTTTACGGCATAAAACAGTTTCTTAGTGTCAATGTAGCCAGAGCAGGGAACTCTCCTGTTGAAACCCCACCAGAATTCCAAAATAAAGGAAATCTACCTTTGCATTCCCCATAGAATTATGTTCCATCGTTTTTCACGGGATGCTCCATCCCTAAAAATACTGGACCTTAAGGAGGGTACGTATAAGTGACAATGGGATAATATTGAAAATTGGAGCTTCTTGAATTCTTACTTTCCGAAATGCGAATAGGATTGATGGAATTGCAGAAGCTTCTCACAATGGAAATGATCGACTTTCCAAATAGATACAACATATTCTTTTGCCACGCTGGTGTCACCTGCAATAAGAATATGGCCAGGCATTATTTGCTGGAGAATTTTGTGGTGCCAACTTCCCTCAAAAGAAAAAAAAAATACAAAGAGCCTAATTCCACCAATTTTATGCAGGATTCCTATTATCCAAATCCATCTCCAACAGCGACAAATTCTACCTACAAAATACCAGCATAGTTCGTTGTCTTAAATAGTACAACTTAGATTAGTTAGTTTCATTGGATCCTTAATTAACCAACCATGTAAAGAAATATCAGCAGGAACACAAGCATGATGAAAAGTTAATTATGGAGATGTAATAAAAGAAAAAAAGAGAATAAACTAAATCTAACTAAACATCTTAATCATCAAGGATTGGTAATAGTTAAAATGAAAAGAAGCAATAAGAAAAAGCACATACCTAAGAACTTGAGGAGCTGATTGCAGTGTCCTGTCTGTTTTGAAGTACTCATGTTCCCAAATAAACATATGGGGTGTGAGATATCTTCATCCAGTCCTCACCTTCTTCTCTCTTGCATGGTTTTTCAAGTTCAGGACAATCTTGAATGGATAGGTGTTGAAGTTCACCGAGTTGCTTGATGCCTTCGGGAAGATACTTTATATCTTGAATGGATAGGTGTTGGTTTCGACCCACAGTTGCAGCAAACTCAGTAGCTGGCCTCAGATTTTCAACTGCAATAGCTGTAAGTGATGCTGATTGTGAAGGACAAAAGCAGAAGTGAAGAGGGTGAGGACTGAAGAGACGATTGCAGAAAAAGTATTACTTGACCTTTATTTGCATCAGAAAATCCAAACCCTTACTTGATAATTCATGGCGGTAAGTCTTCTTAACTAGTAGATTATACTACCGAAAACTCAAATCAAGGTGGGAGAAGAAAAACTTCTACGAGTTGTACATCAATAAATCATTGTCACTCGAAAAAAAGAAGAAAACATTAGGAGTCATTTTACAACTTCATTTCCAAAGTACACGAGAACTGGAAATTTGTTTCCTCACACACGAGAACCGGAAAGTTTAATTAATAATTTAGTCCAACTTCTCCTCGTTTGACTGATTAACTGCTCCTACGAATGTCATTTGTACGAATATATGCAGCTGCTGTAGTATATACTGATTACACGAGAACTGGAAATATTTTCCTCACACAGGCTTATTGTAAATGAAGTAATAAGAACCTACAGATTAAACGTATATTATTATACTTGACCTTGAAGCACATGGATGGCCAGCAAACTAGCCAACCTGGTTGAACAGCTGAAATAAAGAGAAAAATGAGCAGCCTCCATTTAGAACAGCAGCTAGAGTTAAATTTTGTGGTCTATAGTTCACACATTATTCAGTTTCACCAGTTTGCACATGATTCATATTACCCACAGTTTTCTTGACCAATATCATTTCCATGTGTCTCATCCTTTGCTTTCCCAATTCTTGTTTGGAAATTATAAAGGGGAATCTCATGAAAAAAAAAATTAATCATCAGGAATTAAATTTGCACATAACTGAATCAAACAGAAGCAATGGGATGTCAAATATAAAAGATATATTCTTCTACATCTGATACATACCAAAAACCACTTGAAAGCTTTAAAATAGCAAAGCTTGTGGAAAAAGTTATCAAAATATAGTTTTAGTTTTGAAATGTCGCAAAGACAAGGTGGTTTGAGAAGGTTTTTCTTGAACAGTGTTGCAAAAACCAGAGCTGATCAAACTTGTATAAGTGACTTTAAATATTAGGGTTTTATCAAATTTATATAAATATTAGGGGTATATCATCATCTGAAAATGTGGGACATGTTTGATAAATAACATGATCATTCATATAAAATTTTATGTGCTGCACGAGTTCAAGTTTGAAGAGTGAACTGATTTTTCAACAATGAAATGCAAAGTAGGTTCTAACAGGGACCGAACTATGTAGGATGTGGGAGGTGTCTTAGCCAAAAAAAAATTTATTCAATTAAGTATTTGGTCCCTGTCACTTCTTAAATTAATTAAATTAAATTATAAAATTTGCCATTTTTTTGTATTTGATTATATTTTAAGTTTTTATCAATTTTAAATTTTAGTTAAATTAAATATTACTTTTTACATTTTTTGTTTTAAAAGTCTATTAGGTCCCAACCAATTTTAGAATTAAAAAAGGTTATATATAAAATCAATATTTAAACTATTTTTTATAGGTATCTAATTTTTTTAATCAAAGTATGTGTTTAATGTTTCATTCTGTAACAATTCTAAAATCAATATGTTAAATCGGTCAAGAAAATTATCCAAAAATATATGACACGTGTCTTTCGTCCATTTTCTTTCATATTTCAGTTTCTCACTCTTTATTATTTCTTCTATTTTTTAGAGAAAGAAAGGGAAAAAAATTGTGAAACTGAAAGGAGATGAAAAGATCGGAAAATTTATTTTGGACAACAATATAAATTTCAGATTTAAAAATTAGTCCCAAACACTTTAAATTGAAAATTTTATGTTTCAAAAAATAGTATCAAACATTACAATTTCGAAAATTCATCTATTTTCAAGTGAAATCAAAATCTCCAACTCTAATAAATCAACTGCACTTTTGTTTATTTTGATTTGAAAAACCCTAAAATTCCTTAAAAATAAGTTATAGGGCCGAAGAGCTCATCAATGATAGGTAAAGATTTTTTAATGAACATAATAGATCGATCTTAAAATGATTACGAAACAAAATTTTAGATGCATACTTTAACAAAAAGAAAATAATTTATACGTATAAAGCAAAAATAAATACAGTTTAAAGACTTATTTTATACTAAATTTTAAAATGAATTAAAATCTAAACTCTTTTTTCTGATTTAAATAAATATATACTATTTTTGAAATTAAATAATATAACTTTTAATATTTTGTCCTAATTCCATCCCTTGCTCTAAAATGAACGCTACTATAATCGACAGTTCAGTGATCGATGTATGTTTAAAAAAAAATTGTGGCAACCAGAGATTCAGTTGAAGTGAAACCTTAGATACCTAATATTTTTAATATATGCCCAATCTTATCTCTTTTCTTCGTTATAAACATATGCCATCTTTTAAATAAAATCATTTAATTGAATTTATCATGTGATGTCAATAGTATAATTTAATATTAATTTTTTAGAGAGTTTGAATTTAAGTAACAATGTCTATAAGATAAGTATACGTTGTGAATAAATTAAGAGAATTCTAAACATATATTATCGTATAATTATCTTAAATTATTTATAAAATAAATAAATAAAATTATTTAATGGTGATAGGAGGTCCACGATGGGAGGCTGTCAATCTTTAGTTAGCATCAGCTAGACGACGGTACTGTAATTGTAGACAAATCCTAAGAATCTAATAAACAATGATGCTTTCACACTCTTCTTTTGATATTTTTTCCCTCCTTTTCTCCGTATATTTTAGAAATTGAAAGCAATAGTGTACGCCACTTAAGGCATTAAAAAAAAAACTTAGGGTACGTTTAGTTCACATAATATAAGATTATTTCTGGGAATAGGATTATCGTAATGTAACATTAACTAACACATTACTAGAAATGTTATATTACTGTGTTTGGTTTGTTTGGTAGGAAATAAGATTACAATGTTTGGTTAAATGAATAAAATATTATTAAAATCTATATTTTATCAAATTGTCCTTATTCTATATTTTATGACAAGTGAAAATCTAAATATTTAAATGAAAATTATTTATATAAAAATGCATCGATAATATATTATTTTATTATTTAAATATATCATGTATTATTTTAATTTTAATTAATATTAAATTTTACATAATTTATCTAAAAATATATTAAAAGTTTATATCAACATTTAACTAAATAAGCATATGAACATTGTAATAGATGAACTATTTTACTCCTACCAAAATGTATAAAGATGTTTTATTATTTTTTTAGAGAATATTTTTAATTTAATAATTATAAAATATATTATTATTAGTATTAAAAAATAATCATATTTTTACGTAAAATGTGAATTTCCCTTGCCATAAATCGAACAGTCTCAGGCTCAAGGTTATCAAATCTTACTTTCTTCAGAGCAAAAACTTTTTTCTGATCTAAATCTCGAGCCCTATAAATATTACTATAGTTCCCTGGCCAATCTGCATAGTGAAAACAAGTTCAGGTAACAGACGTGATTATAAGTCACAAGAAATTATGATCAAACCAAGCAGAAATGCCCAACAAAGTGGGGGATAACTTTGTGTTTAAGAACAGAGATTCAAATACAGAGCTCCAAGTAAGGCATTATCACACCTTAGAACAAAGATATCTTTATAATGCAAACTACTGAAAATATCAATTTGCTAGCGGTATAAGAATTTGTGAATTACACCATATTTTACAATCATTGATAGATGTCAAAATGGATTCCAAGTAACTATGATCTCCAAACTTAATAGCACAAAAGTGAATCTCAACAGTTGATACAGAGACTTGCAGTGAATGATTTAAAAATCAATTGTTAAGTCAAAAAAAAAAAAAATTATGAATGATATTTGCAACAGGAGGATACAAAAGGAAGCACTTTTAAGTTAAAGCATAATTACTTTATCCAGCTTCTCGAATGAGTCTGCACGCCGCGGTAGCCATCCTCGGATTGCCTCCCCAGCTACTGCAGCTAACCAAGCAGGCCACCCTGCTCTCCTTGTGTAGCTTTGGGAACGCTACCTATCCCTGGATGTTGAACAACAACATACTCTATCTTTTCCCTTTTCCTATACAAATTCTCGCTGTGTAGTCGAACCGAATCACT